CGATCTGCCAACGATGCGTTCACTTCACTTGCAAATGTCTCCTAAAAACAAAAGCTTATCTATCGAACCATTTCTTGTCAACAAATCATTCAGAACACCACAAATCCCTTTCGAGAGACTGCATTCTCATTAACATGGTGCATTTTACTATCAGTTGATGTTGACGCTCATAAGAAAGCAACAAAAAATAATTCATGAATACCTCAATTTCTGGATATGGATATCTCTATGGATATCCAATCTATATCTATGGATAATATCTCTAGGGATGTCTCTATATCTATCTACAAAGTGAGCACGCACGTTCACAATAAATCTCACAGTAGATTTCACAATGTGTCCGAATTGATCATAAAACCGCCACCAAAATGGAAACAATTTTCAATTCCCAAACAAAACCAACAAGAAATTGTTGTGGTCGTATTGCAGAGTACGCTCCACTCCATACGGCATCCATTAGTGCCGAGAATGCCGCTGATATCACGCCGGATGTTCCCATTTTGTTGCCTCTGAAGCAACTCAACTCTTGAAACGACCGACTGCTTCACTTTCAACGCAGTTCAGTAAATATCAAACACAGTTTTGCCTTTCCTCACAACCAGACCAAAGTAAAACATCTGACTAACTATTAATAAAACCATCATCAAAAACGAAAAATTATTAACTGCTCCAACATTGAGAGAAACAATTCACAAATACCATCACGAAAAATAAGAATAAAACAAATAAAAGAATCAAAGAAGAAACAAAAGAGAATAACGAACCGATTGACAAATCCAGCGAATTTGTCCCGCGTGAAGATATTCTTCAAATAGCGTGTATTGAAGAGTGCTTGTAGTGTTGCGTTCATAAAACAAGTATTACCGAGATTATAGAGACCAGTATAGCCAGCATTCTGCAAGTTCACCCACAATCAATTATGCATAAATGCATCACTTGAACACCACTAATCAAAACTGAATTATTCAATAACGATTACATTCATAACATTAACAACAAAGATAAGAATAATAATCAGCTGTTACGAAAGAAGCACTGAAAGCACTCACGACACGTTTCGAATGCGCTCCTGACTGGATCGACTTCGTCATCGAATCATACAAAAACAACAATCTATGCACATCATCGCTGAAATAAACATCCTTATCGCAAACCTTACACCTGACATCTAAATTAACCCAATACCATCAAATGAGCTATCCATTCAAAATGATTTTACAGCTTAAATCCTTAAGGTTCTTCAGTAAATTCAGCAGTAAATTAACAACTCACCTTGACGCGATATGCGGTTTAGCGCTTCGGTCGGGAATAACTGGACGTAAGTGGTGAGCGGATGGCGGATGAGCAAAACTGAAACAATCCAGAAAAAAATAATAGAAAATGTTAGAAATAGCAGCAGCAGCCAATTTAGTTTTGTCGAGGAACAACTGATTTATTATTATTATTATTATTA